TAAGTTTTTTTTATTTAAGAAAAAAACTTATATTCATGTGTTCTGTATTTTCGAATGTTCTCATTTCTCTACTAATCTGGCTGTCTGTTTGTACATACTTTATAACAGCTTTTAATTTGTCCGTGGTTTCCAGGTGATATTGGCAGTCACGATAGCCCTTGTGTCGATGGCAGTGGCCGGAGGTAGAGGCCGATATGGTGGCGGTGGTGGAGGAGGTGGAGGTGGTGGATTTGGCGGAGGTAGTGGAGGTGGAGGACACGGAGGCGGTGGAGTCGGAGGTGGATTTGGCGGTAGTAATGGCGGCGGCGGCGGCGGCGGTGGATACGGCGGAGGCAGCGGAGGAGGAAGCGGCGGTGGCAGTGTAGTTTCTGGAATTCTTGTTGGCAGTGGAACTCTCTCGGGTGGAGGCGGCGGCGGCGGCGGCGGCGGCGGCTACGGAGGTGGAAGCGGAGGGGGTTTTAGTGGAGGAAATGGAGGCGGTTTTGGAGGTAGTCATGGAGGTGGAAGCGGAGGCGGATTTGGAGGCGGAAGCGGAGGCAGCAGCGGATACGGAGGATAAAGCGTAAAAGCAAAAACTTACTCCTAGATGCAATCAAATAAAATGAACTGAAACCTGTTTCTTCTTGTAACATCGGAATTTCCTCCATAAAATACTTTTATGTCTCAAAATAGTAAGTTGATAAGAAAGCTCCTCAAATACTATTCAGAAAGCCCGAGTTAAGATAAAAAGCCCAAATAGAGAAAATTACAGAATTAATAAACCTACAGCTCGCTAACAAAATGAAAGCGAAAGATTGATCATAATTTCCACTTAGACGCCTAAGGATTCACGAATAGAGAGACAAGAAGGAACGAGAAGGATAAAAAAAAAATATATATATATATGTTAACAAAGAGACGGCTACGGAGGTGGAAGCGGAGGAGGGTTTAGTGAAGGAAGTGCAGGCAATTTGTGGGGTAGTCAAGGAGGCGGAAACAGAGGCGGATTTGGAAGCGGAAGTGGAGGCACCAGTGGATATGGAGGATAAAGCGGGGAAGTAAACATTTACTCCTAGAAGCATTAAAGTAAAATGAACTGAAACCTGTTTTTTTTTTTTTTTTTTTTTTTTTTAATTATTCATTAATTCATTTATTTATGTATTTATCTTATTTCTCTAACGAGAGAATTTCATCCAGACCGATAATTTCATATGCCTAAAGAGTAAGTTGATAATCAAAACCAGCCACAGATTAGTAAGATACTCTGGTGTAAGTTATAAAGCCCAAATAAAGCAAGAAAAGGGAATTTTATAAACCGATACCTCATAACAAAAAGAAAAGCGAAAGATGACTGACCCTAATTAACATCCACTGAGACGCTTCAAGAGACATAATTAGGGACAAGAAATAAGTAGAAGGGAAAATATACAAAGAAGTATGATAAAAGAGAAAGAAAGGGTGAAAACGAGAAAAAACTATTTAACCTATTTAAAAACAATAGAAAAAATATATATATATATACCGAGAGCAAAACAAAGAAGCGTAAGCAAAAAAGTAATCTAAAAAAGTAAATAAAGAGAAATAAATGCTTCTCGTAGATGAGTAATAGCCAATTCAATATATACATATTTATTCTAATGTTTTTACGATTACTGTTAAACAATGTTCGTTTGAACAAATGTAGAAAATGCATGAATAAGAATGAATAGCTCCACATGATAAGTGTGTTCTTGAAATTTTTCTTATCATTTAGGGACGAGTGTGAAGCTAAAACATTTGAATAGTGACATTCATTTATTTATTAATTTCAAGTATATATATATATATATATATATATACATATATACACATGCAAATACGAATGTATGTGTATATATATACGTGCATATATAAATACACACACACACACACACACACACATATATATATATATATATGCACATGTTGTATATAGATATAGCGAAAAACATAATTGATTTATATATGTATGCTCATATTTACACCCACCCACAAATAAGATGTGCGTGCGTGTGTGTGTGCGCGTGTGTTGTGTGTGTATGTGTGAGTGCAATGTATATGTGTATACTCCAACAACATATTTCAGGTATTTCGCCTTTCTGTTCCGGTCATCTGTATTGCCTCAGGTGCAAATCAATTAAGGACATTATAGAATTATAGCATCATAATTATTGTGCAGTTGTAAAAAAATATATATTACATACATATCACGTAAGTTCGTACATTTGCGTGTATTCAGTCCCCATTCATTACAGTGTTATCTATGTGTTTCCTGAATAATAAGAAAAAGTTCGTTTGAATGAAATACAAGCACTACAAAAAGGGACGCGTTATAGTCAACGAATTATAGTATAATCACAGAGAATATTGTAAAATTTGTTCCTTATTTGTTACCGAATCATCGACGAAGGTGTTACGACGTAATAAAAGCTATTTAAAGAAATAAAGATTTATCTAATCTCCTTAATTTTCGGAAGTGATAGTTTACTCATTCATCCAAAGAACAAAAAAAGTTGGCACCTCCAGTGCCTTACTGAAGGCCAAATCAGGAAGCATAAATACTTGGCCGACGTCGACAGCGTTACATTTGAGAATATTCCATCTGCAACAAAGGAAGATAAACTCACTCCAGGCATGATACTTCAGCGCCAAGTGGTAAGACCGAATATGGCTTTCTTGGTTTCTAAAAGATGTGTTTGTTTTAATTAGATAACTGTGACCGGATGATTTAGTTTGGAAAAACGACAAAATATTCATCTAAGAGAGAGAGAGAATGAGAAAATAGCGAAGCTTTTATACCAGTTAATGTGTATTATATTTTCTAATGCTCTCTCTGTTCTCTACTAATCTGGCTAGGTGTTTCTCTGTAGATATTTTGCAACAGTATTGAACTCGTTCGTGTTTTTCAGGTTATATTGGCAGTCACGATGACACTTATGTCGATGGTAGCAGCCGAAGGTAGAGGTCGATATGGTAGCAGCGGTGGAGGAGGCGGTGGTGGAGGTGGTGGATTTGGCGGCGGTAGTGGAGGTGGAGGACACGGAGGCAGTGGATTCGGAGGTGGATTTGGCGGTAGTAGCGGCGGCGGCGGTGGATACGGCGGAGGCAGCGGAGGAGGAAGTGGCGGTGGCAGTGTAGTTTCTGGAATTCTGGTTGGCAGTGGAACTCTCTCCGGAGGAGGCGGTGGCGGCGGCGGTGGCTACGGAGGTGGAAGCGGAGGCGGTTTTGGTGGAGGAAGTGGAGGCGGTTTTGGAGGTAGTCATGGAGGTGGAAGCGGAGGCGGAAGCGGAGGCAGCAGCGGATACGGAGGATAAAGCGGAAAAGCAAATACTCCTTGATGCATTAAAGTAAAATAAATTGAAACCTGTTTTTTTCTAACAAGTGAATGTTGCCCAGAGCAAAAACTCTTTACTATATTCCAATATAAATTCCTAATTAAAGTTAGCCACAGGTTATTCAGGTACATTGATGGAAGATATGAAGGCAAAATATGGCAAAATAATTAAACCTAAATCTCAACACATAAAGAGAGGCGAAAGATGACTGATACTTATTTTCACCGAGACGCTTAAGATTCACGAATGGAGATGGGAAGGAAGTAGAAGGAAAATCTATAAAAAGGAAATGAAAAAAAAGGAAAAAAAAATATATTGAAAAATAAACAAATATATAAAACACAATGCATATACCACTAGGAAAGCAAATATATATAAGCTAAAAGTATTTTCAGAAAAAGAAAAGAAAAAAAAAGATAAATAAATGCTTCTCAAAGATACATAACAGTCAAACACAGGCTTACCCGCTCATTTAATTACTGATGTTACAATTACTTTTTTTTTAATGCTCTTATGATTAGTGTTAAACTGTGTTTATTGCAAGGAATGTAAAAATGTATGAATAAGAATGGATATTTTCACAAGTTAAAGCATTTCCCGAACTTTGACTCGTTTTTTTCTGACATAATGTTAAGTGAAATGGTAGAAGTATATAAATGTATAAATGTATGGTTATATATATGTATATGTATATGTACTCATACAGACTATATATACACATACAAATACATGCATATATGTATGTGTATACACTTTTATATATATGCATACATATATATACTGTACATGTAAACATATACATTCATGAAAAATACAAATATGTAAATCTATATAATTATAAAAACATATTCCTCTCTCTCTATAAATATATCTATATATGTAATCATATAATTATATATACGCACACATGCATACATATACATATACAGACGTATACATATATATACATATACATACATGAATACGTACATATGCCTAAATATGAATACATATGCACGCACACACACACACATACACACACACACACATACACACACACACACACACACACGCACACACACACACACACACATATATATATATATATATATATATATATATATATGCGTATGTATTTATACATATATAAATTGGTACATACATGTATATATATGTTTATAATTACACAAAAATAAGCTGGTTGTTTGTGTACATGCGTTGTGTGTGTGTGCACATGTGTGTGTTATGTATGTGTATGCTCCAACAAAATATCCCAAGCAAGTATTTCGCCTTGATGATGTCTTGGTCATCAATATTGCTGAAGGTACATATAAAAGGAAGGAAGGAATTCATAGAACGATGGCAAAATAATTATTGTGCAGGCATAAAAACTTTTTTTATGGTATGAATAAGACTCGTTAGCATTATTTAGAATCACATCTAATATATATACAATATATATATGTATATATATATGTATATATATGTATATATATATATATATATATATATATATATATAAGGTTTCTTACCTAACCATCGAGGTTTACGACGTAAGAAAAGTCGCTTTCTTAAAAAAAAAAAAAAAAAAAAAAATCTAATCTTTCGGAATTGATTCCGCATTTATTCACGCAGAGATTTTGCAACGGAAGAAGCTGGCACCTTTAGTGCCTTACTGAAGGCTAAACCATGAAGTATAAATACTTGGCCGACGCCGACAGTGCCACACTTGAGAATATCTCTTCTGCAACAGAGGAAGATAAACTCACTGCAACCATGATACTTCAGCGTGCAGCGGTGAGACATGAATATGACATTTTTGGTTGCTATAAGTGTTTCTTCCACGTTGGGTAACCAAGAACGAATGATGTCATAGTAAGGGAAAACAACAATTATTTAAGTTTTTTTTATTTAAGAAAAAAACTTTTATATTCATGTGTTCTGTATTTTCGAATGTTCTCATTTCTCTACTATTCTGGCTGTCTGTTTGTACATATTTTATAACAGCTTTTAATTTGTCCGTGGTTTCCAGGTGATATTGGCAGTCACGATGGCCCTTGTGTCGATGGCAGTGGCCGGAGGTAGAGGCCGATATGGTGGCGGTAGTGGAGGAGGTGGAGGTGGTGGATTTGGCGGAGGTAGTGGAGGTGGAGGACACGGAGGCGGTGGATTTGGAGGTGGGTTTGGCGGTAGTAGCGGTGGCGGCGGCGGCGGTGGATACGGCGGAGGCAGCGGAGGAGGAAGCGGCGGTGGCAGTATAGTTTCTGGAATTCTTGTTGGCAGTGGAACTCTCTCGGGTGGAGGTGGCGGTGGCGGCGGCTACGGAGGTGGAAGCGGAGGCGGAAGCGGAGGCAGCAGTGGATACGGAGGATAATGCCTAAAAGCAAAGACTTACTTCTAGATGCAATAAAATAAAATGAACTGAAACCTGTTTCTTCCTCTAATATCGGAATTTCATCCAGAAAATACTTTTTATGTCCCAAAATAGTAAGCTGATAAGAAAGCTCCCCAAATACTATTCAGAAAGCCCGAGTTAAGGTAAAAGGCCCATATAGAGAAAAATACAGAATTAATTATTAAACCTACAGGTCACTAACAAAAGGAAAGCGAAAGACTGACCATAATTTCCACCTAGACGCCTAAAATTTCCCGAATAGAGACAAGAAGGATAAAAAAAAAAAAAAAAAAAAAAACTAAACAAAGAGACGGCTGCGGAGGAGGGTTTAGTGAAGGAAGTGCAAGCAAATTGGGGGGTAGTCAAGGAGGCGGATTTGCAAGCGGAAGTGGAGGCAACAGTGGATATGGAGGATAAAGCGGGAAAGTACAAATTTACTCCTAGAAGCATTAAAGTAAAATGAACTGAAACCTGTTTTTTTTTTTTTTTTTTTTTTTTTTTTTTTTTTTTTTAATTATTCATTAACTCATTTATTTATTTATTTGTCTTTTTTCTCTAACAAGAGAATTTCATCCAGACCGATAATTTCATATGCCTAAAGAGTAAGTTGATAATCAAAACCAGCCACAGATTAGTAAGATACTCTGGTGTAAGTTATAAAGCCCAAATAAAGCAAGATAAGGGAATTTTATAAACCGATGCCCCATAACAAAAAGAAAAGCGAAAGATGACTGACCCTAATTAACATCCACTGAGACGCTTAAAGAGTCATAATTAGGGACAAGAAATAAGTAGAAGGGAAAACTATACAAAGAGGTATAATAAAATAGAAAGGAAGGGTGAAAGCGAGAAAAAAACTATATTTAAAAACAAAACAAAAAGAAACAAAAGATTGATATATCTGCAGGAAAACGAAAACAGCGTAAGCAAAAAGTAATCTAAGTAGATAAAGGGAGATAAATGCTTCTTGTAGATGAGTAATAGCCAACTCAATATGTACATATTTATTCTAATGTTTTTACGATTACTGTTAAACAGTGTTCATTTGAACGAATGTAGAAAATGCATGAATATGAATGAATAGCTCCACATGATAAGTGTGTTCTTGAAGGTTTTCTTATCATTTAGGGGCGAGTGTGAAGCTAAAACATTCGAATACTGACTCGATTATTTTCATTTATCTATTTATTAATTTTAAGTATATATATATATATACATATATAATGTGTGTGTGTGTGTGTGTGTGCATACAAATATAAATATATATATATATATATACGTGCATATATAAACACATTATATATATACATATATATACACATACACATGTTATATATAGATAAATCAAGGACATCATAGAATTATAACATCATAATCATTGTGCAGTTGTAATATATATATATATATATATATATACATATCACGTAAGTTCGTACATTTGCGTGTATTCAGTCCCCATTCATTAGAGTGATATCTATGTGTTTCCTGAATGATAAGAAAAAGTTCACTTGAATGAAATATAAAAACTACAAAAAGGGACGCGTTATAGTTAACGAATTCTACTATAATCACAGAGAATATTATTGTAAAATTTGTTCCTTATTTGTTACCGAATCATCGACGAAGGTGTTACGACGTAATAAAAGCCGTTTAGAGAAATAAAGATTTATCTGATCTCATTAATTATCGGAAGTGATAGTTCACTCATTCATCCAAAGAACAAAAGTTGGCACCTCCAGTGCCTTACTGAAGGCCAAATCAGGAAGCATAAATACTTGGCCAACGTCGACAGCGTTACATTTGAGAATATCCCATCTGCAACAAAGGAAGATAAACTCACTGCAAGCATGATACTTCAGCGCCAAGTGGTAAGACACGAATATGGGTTTCTTGGTTTATAAAAGATGTGTTTGTTTTAATTGGATAACTGTGACCGGATGATTTAGTTTGGGCAAACAACAAAATATTCATCTAAGAGAGAGAGAATGAGAAAATAGCGAAGCTTTTATACCAGTTAATGTGTATTATATTTTCTAATTCTTTCTCAACTAATCTGGCTAGGTGTTTCTCTGTAGATATTTTGCAACAGTATTGAACTCGTTCGTGTTTTTCAGGTTATATTGGCAGTCACGATGACACTTATGTCGATGGTAGCGGCCGGAGGTAGAGGTCGATATGGTAGCGGCGGTGGTGGAGGTGGTGGATTTGGCGGAGGTAGTGGAGGTGGAGGACAAGGAGGCGGTGGATTCGGAGGTGGATTTGGCGGTAGTAGCGGCGGCGGCGGCGGTGCATACGGCGGAGGCAGCGGAGGAGGAAGCGGCGGTGGCAGTGTAGTTTCTGGAATTCTTGTTGGCAGTGGAACTCTCTCGGGTGGAGGCGGCGGCGGCGGCTACGGAGGTGGAAGCGGAGGGGGTTTTAGTGGAGGAAATGGAGGTGGTTTTGGGGGTAGTCATGGAGGTGGAAGCGGAGGCGGATTTGGAGGCGGAAGCGGAGGCGGAAGCGGAGGCAGCAGTGGATACGGAGGATAAAGCGTAAAAGCAAAAACTTACTCCTAGATGCAATAAAATAAAATGAACTGAAACCTGTTTCTTCTTCTAACATCGGAATTTCATCTAGAAAATAATTTTATGTCCCAAAATAGTAAGTTGATAATCAAAGCTCCCCAAATACTATTCAGAAAGCTCGAGTTAAGGTAAAAAGCCCAAATAGAGAGAAATACAGAATTAATAAACCTACAGCTCACTAACAAGAGGATGGCGAAAGATTGACCACAATTTCCACTTAGACGCCTACAGATTCACGAATAGAGACAAGAAGGAACTAGAAAAAAAAAAAAAAAAAAAACAAAGAGCCGGCTACGGAGGTCGATGCGGAGGTAGGTTTAGTGCAGGAAGTGCAGGTAATTTTGGGGGTAGTCAAGGAGGCGGCAACAGAGGCGGATTTGGAAGCGGAAGTAGAGGCACTAGTGGATATGGAGGATAAAGCGGGAAAGTAAGTGTACATCCTACATCTGCGTGTATTCAGTCCCCATTCCTTAGAGCGATATCTATTTTTCCTGAATGATAAGAAAAGGTTCACTTGGATGAAATACATGAATTACAAAAAGAGACGCGTTATAGTGAACTAATTATACTATAATCACAGAGAATATTATTGTAAAATTTGTTCGTTATTTAATACCGAATCATCGACGAAGGTGTTACGATGTAATAAAAGATGTTGTAGAAGAATAACGATTTATCTAATCTCCTTAATTTTCGGAAGTGATAGTGGTAGTACAAAAGAAGTTGGCACTTCCAGTTCCTTATTAAAGGCCAAATCATGAAGCATAAATACTTGGTCGACGTCGACAGCGTTACATTTGAGAATATTCCATCTACAACAAAGGAAGATTAACTCACTGCAGGCATGATACTTCAGCGGCAAGTGGTAAGACACGAATATGGCTTTCGTGCTTTCTAAGAGATGTGTTTGTTTTCATTGGATAACTGTGACCGAATGATTTAGTTTGGGAAAACAGCAAGATATTCAACTTGGAGAGTGAGAGAATGAGAAAATGGAGAAGCTTTTATACCAGTTAATGTATATTATATTTTCTAATATAACTTTCTGTTAATTTCTCTACTAATCTGGCTAGCTGTTTCTCGTTCGTGTTTCCCTGGTGATATTAGCAGTGATATTGGCAGTCACGATGACGTTTATGTCGATGGTAGCGGCCGGAGGTAGAGGTCAATATGGTAGCGGCGGTGGAGGAAGCGGTGGTGGAGGTTGTGGATTTGGGGGAGGTAGTGGAGGATACGGAGGCGGATTTGGCGGTAGTAGCGGCGGCGGCGGTGGATACGGCGGAGGCAGCGGAGGATGAAGCGGCGGTGGCAGTGTAGTTCCTGAAATTCTTATTGGCAGTGGAACTCTCTCGGGTGGAGGCGGCGGCAGAGGCGGCGGTGGCTACGGAGGTGGAAGCGGAGGTGCTTTTAGTGGAGGAAGTGGAGGCGGATTTGGGGGTAGTCACGGAGGTGGAAGGTGCAGATATGTATATGTTGATACACTTTATATGTATATGTATATATACATGTATATAAATATTTACATGTAAATATATATATATATATATATATATATATATATATATATATATATATATATATTTACGTATATAGAAATATTTTCAAATATATATGTATATATATATATACATATTTACATATATATATATATATATATACATATATATATATATATATATATATATATATATATATGTATATATATATATATATATATATTTACATATATATATATTTACATATATATATATATATATATATATATATATATATGTTTACATACATATATGCATAATTATATATACTGTTCATATACATTCATAAAAAAATATATATGTAGATCTATATACTTATATAAACATATATACACACCTCTGTCTCTTTATATACATTTATATATGTGGCCATGTAAGTATATATACACATACATGCATATATATATATATATATATATATATATATATATATATATATATATATATATATAAACACATACACACACACACATATATATATACATACATATATATATATATATACATATATATATATATATATATATATATATATATATATATATGCACATATGTACATATGCCTGTATATGAATATATATGTACATACACACATATGATTATATATATATATATATATATATATATATATATATATATATATATATATATATTATATATATATATATATATATATATATATATATATATGTATGTATATATGCATATATATTTATACGTATATAAATTTGTATATGTTTATATTTACACACAAACAAGTTTGTTTGTGCGCATGTGTTGTTTGGGAGTGTTCCAACAACATATTTCAAGTAAGTATTTCGCCTTTATGATGTTTTGGTCATCAATATTGCTGAAGGTACATATAAAAGGAAGGAAGGACTTCATCAGACTATAGCAAAATAATTATTGTGCAGACGTAATTTTTTTATAGTTTAAATAGCACTCGTTACCATCATCTAAAATCACATATCTAAATATATGTATATATATTGTAAGATCTGTTAATCATCGAGGTTTACGACGTAAGAAAAGACTTTTTTTAATCTAATCCTCCGGAAGTGATTGCTCATTCATTCACGCAAAAAAAAAAAAAAAAAAAAAAAAAATGTAACGAAAGAAGCTGGCACCTGTAGTGCCTTACTGAAGGCCAAAACATGAAGTATAAATACTTGGCCGACGACGACAGAGCCACACTTGAGAATATCTCATCTGCAACAGAGGAAGATAGACTCACTGCAACCATGATAATTCAGCGTTCAATGGTAAGACACGAATATGACTTTTTGGGTTGCTAAAAGAAGTGTTTCTTCTACGTTGGGCAACCAAGAATGAATGATGTTATAGTATGAGAAAACAACAATGGTTATTTAGACGTTTTATTTAAGAAAGAAAGAAAGAAAAATCTTTATACCAATCAATGTGTTTTGTATTGTCTATTCTACTAATCTCACTGTTTGTACATATTTTATAGAAGCATTTAAAGAGTCCATGTTTTCCAGGTGATATTGGCAGTCACGATGGCCATTGTGTCGATGGTAGCGGCCGGAGGTAGAGGCCGATATGGTGGCGGCGGTGGAGGAGGTGGAGGTGGTGGATTTGGCGGAGGTAGTGGAGGTGGAGGACACGGAGGCGGTGGATTCGGAGGTGGATTTGGCGGTGGTAGTGGCGGTGGATATGGAGGAAGCAGCGGAGGAGGAAGTGGCGGTGGCAGTGTAGTTTCTGGAATTTTTGTTGGCAGTGGAACTCTCTCGGGCGGAGGCGGCGGTGGCGGCAGCTATGGTGGTGGAAGCGGAGGTAGTTTTAGTGGAGGAAGTGGAGGTGGTTTTGGGGGTGGGAGCGGAGGCGGAAGCGGAGGCAGCAGCGGATACAGAGGATAAAGCGGAGAAGCAAAGACTTACCCCTAAATGCAATAAAATATAATGAACTGAAACCTGATTCTTCTTCTAACATTCGAATTTCATCCAGAAAACACTTTATGGTCCAAAGTAGTAAGTTGATAATCAAAGCCCCCAAATACTATTCAGAAATCCTAAGTTAAGGTAAGAAGCCCAAATAAAGAAAAATAAGGAACATTAATTAATAAACCTACACCTCACCAATAAAAGCAAAGCTAAAGACAATTGACCATAATTTACACTGAGACGCATAAAGAATCACGAATGGAGACAATAAAGAACTAGAAGAAAAAAATATATATAAACAAAGAAACGGCTACGGAGGTGGAAGCGGCGCTGGCTTCAGAGGAGAAAGTGGAGGGAGTTTTGGAGGTAGTCATGGAGGTGGAAGCAGAGGCGGTTTTGGAAGAGGAAGTGGAGGCAGCAGCGGATACGGAGGATAAAGTGGAAAAGCAGAGACGTACTCCTAAAAGCATTAATGTAAAATGAACTGTAACTTTTCTTTCTAACAAGCGAATTTCATCCACATAGAAAACACTTTTCATGTGGCTAAAGAGTAAGTTGATAATCAAAACCAGCCAAAGATTAGTCAGATACCCAGATGTAAGCTATAAAGCCCAAAAGTAAGCAAAAAAAGAAGAAAAATAAAAAGAATATATAAACCGATATCTCTTATCAAAAAGAACAGCGAAAGATGACTGATCCTAATCAACATCCACTGAGATGTGAACGAGAAAGAAGTAGAAGGGAAAACTATACAAAGACGATTGATATACAGACCCCAAAGCAAAGAATCGTAAGCAAAAAGTAATCTAAGAAAGTAAATAAAGATAAATAAATGCTTCTTTTAACAACCAAAAATGTCATATTCGTGTCTCACCACTGGACGCTGAAGTATCATGGTTGCAGTGAGTTTATCCTCCTCTGTTGCAGAAGAGATATTTTCATGTGTGGCACTGTCGACGTCGGCGTTACAAAATCTTTGCGTGAATGAATGAGCAATCAATTCCGAAAGATTAGATCATCTTTTTTTTCAAAAATACTTTTCTTCGGTCGTAAACCTCAATGATTAGGTAAAAAACCTTACAATTTATCTATCAGTCTATCTATCTATATATATTAGATGTGTTTGTAGATGATCTTAACGAGTGCTATTCAAACTATATAAAAAAAAAGCATATACATGTGCACATACGCATGTACACAAACAACCAAGTTATTTGTGTGTAAATATAGACATACACACACACACACACACACACATATATAAATATATATATATATATATATATATATATATATATATATATATATATATATATAAATTCATATACGTATAAATGCATATGCATATATATATATATATATATATATATATATATATATATATATATATATATATATATATATATGTGCGTGTCTACATATATATTCATATATAGGCATATGTACATATATACATATATATGTTTTATATATATATATATATATATATATATATATATATATGTATGTATGCGCGTGTGTTTATATACTTACATGGTCACATATATAAATATATACATTGAGAGAGAGGTGTATATATGTTTATATAAATATATAGATTTAGATATATGTACTTTTTTATGAATGTATATGTTTATATGTACAGTGTATATACATATATATATATATATATATATATATATATATATATACATATATACATATAGATATATAGATATAGATATATTAAAAATTGTATAAACATACATATATGCATGTACTGTATGTGTATATTTATTCTGTATATGTACATATACATACATACATACACACACACACACACACACACACACACACACACACACACACACATATATATATATATATATATATATATATATATATATATATGTGTGTGTGTGTGTATATATATATAACCATACATTTATACATTTATATACTTATACAATTTCACTTAACATTATGTCAGAAAAAAAACGAGTCACAGTTTGGCAAATGCTTTAACTTCACAGTCATATCAACTGTAACCATGTGGAAATATCCATTCTTATTCATGCTCTATTTACATTCCTTGCAATAAACATTGTTCAACAGTATCATAAGAGCATTAGAAAAAAAAGTGATTGTAACATCGGTAAATAAATTAAAGGGTAAGCCTGTGTTTGACTGTTACGTATCTGTGAGGAGCATTTATTTATCTTTTCTTTTTTTTCCTTTTTCTTAGAATACTTTTATCTTTCATATATTTCCTTTGTTGGCGGTACAAGAACTGTGATTTATCCATTTGTTTGTTTAATTTTGAATGTAATATTTTTTCATTTTCATATTTTCCCTCTACTTCCTTCCCATCTTCATTCGTGAATCTATAAGCGTCTCACTGGAAATAAGTGTGAGTCATCTTTCGCCTCTCTTTGTGTGTTGAGATTTAGGTTTAATTATTTCCCCCTATTTTGCCATATTTTGCATTCATATCTTGCATCAGAGTATCTGGATAACCTGTGGCTAACTTTAATTATGAACTTACATTGGAATATAATAAAGTTTTTGCTCTGGACGAAATTCACTTGTTAGAAAAATGCAGGTTTCAATTCATTTTACTTTAATGCAGCTAGGAGTAAGTTCTTCCTTTTCCACTTTATCCTCCGTATCCTCTGCTGCCTCCGCTTCCGCCTCCGCTTCCACCTCCGTGACTACCACCAAAACCGCCTCCACTTCCTCCACTAAAACCGCCTCCGCTTCCACCTCCGTAACCACCGCCGGCTCCGCCTCCGCCTCCTCCCGAGAGAGTTCCACTGCCAACCAAAATTCCAGAGACTACACTGCCACCTCCGCTTCCTCCTCCGCTACCTCCACCGTATCCACCGCCGGCGCCGCCGCTACTACCGCCAAATTCACCTCCACCGCTACCATATCGACCTCTACCTCCGGCCGCTACCATCGACATAAACGTCATCGTGACTGCCAATATAACCTGGAAAACACGAGTTCAATACTGTTGTAAAATATCTACTGAGAAACAGCTAGCCAGATTAGTAGAGTATTAGTAAATATGCATATTAACTGGTATAAAACCGTCACTACTTTCTCATTATCTCTTTCTTAGATGAATATCTTGCTTTTTTTCCAAACTAAATCATCCGGTCACAGTTAACCATTTAAAACAAACACATCTTTTAGAAAGCACGAAAGCCATATTCGTGTCTTACCACTTGATGCTGAAGTATCATGCCTGCAATGAGTTTATCTTCCTATGTTGCAGATGGAATATTCTCAAATGTAACGCTGTCGACGTCGGCCAAGTATTTATGCTTCATGATTTAGCCTTCAGTAAGGCACTGGAGATGCCAACTTCTTTTGTTCTTTGGATGAATGAGCAAACTATCACTTCCGAAAATTAAGGAAATTAGATAAATCTTTATTTCGTCGTAACACCTTCGTCGATGAAAACTCTTTATGGTCTAGTGTAGTAAGCTGATAATCAAAGCTCCCCAAATACTGTTCAGAAAACTTGGGTTAAGGTAAGAAGCCTAAATAAAAATGAATAAATAATCTACGTACATGCTGTCAGGCCCATTGTGGACTACGCCTCAGTCGCCCTAATTGGCAGAAAGAAAAAATACAGAGAAAAATTGGAAACAGTCCAAAACGAAGCTGCCAGAATCATTCTGAGTGCCCCGAGGTGGTCAAAGGTTCCCAACCTCCTGATGGAGACCAACCTTTTCCCCCTGGACTCACGAATCGATCAAATGGCAGCCAACTTCTTTGCAAAGGTCCTCCAGGCTCCCAGGAACACGAGCCTAAGAGAAAAATTAGCCAGACGCCTGGAACAAGACAACGAGCTCTTTGCCAACAACACGTGGCTGTCCCACACAGCCAGGGTGTTGATAAGCTTTGAGCTCAAAGAGCAGCTCCTGACCAAGGGCATGGACTCCCCCCACCCTGAGTTTGTCGAAGCCCCGCCGTGGGCACAATATTCGATAGAGTTCTCGGTCATGAGATTAGCGCTCAGAAAGACCGAATATCCCACGCCTGGTCTAAAGGCAGAGATCTACAGGGTCATATCAGCCATCACCCCCCCCGGGTAGTAGAACTTACTACACGAACGGATCGGTCGATCCAGCCAACCACACTGCAGGCGCCGGCTTTGCAGCAAGGGATGCCATGCGCTCCATGAGGGTATCAGACAACGCCTCCTCGCTACAGGCAGAGGCCGTTGCGATCATGGAAGCCCTAGCCCACGTGTCCCCTTTGGGAGGACACGTAGTCATTCACACTGACTCTAGGGCAGCCATTGACTCTCTCAAGCTCAGCTCACCCAAAGACAATATCTACCTCCTGACCACAATATTAACAATAGCCCAAAGAATACTGGCTCAGGGTAGAAGAATCATCCTTAATTGGGTCCCTAGCCACATTGGCATCAGAGGGAACGAACTTGCTGACAGACTAGCAGTCTCTGGCAGGGGTATGCCCCCTAGTCCCATGATCATTGCACCTAGCCGTAATTTACTTCGGATGAAGAGTACTGGTGTCGCCAACTCCTTCCTCCTGCAGCTTCACAGAGAGGCAACGAGATCCTCCCCCTCGGCCAGATGGTATTCAGAAGCAACGGGCTATGAACCTCTGGCACTCTCTGAGTTAAAAGACAGACAAACCGAAGTCATTCTCCACAGAATGCGCCTAGGTTACCACTGTAAATGGCAGATAATTGAGACCATTGTCCATGAAGAGAGGTGTTGCATGCATTGCGGCGAGCCGAACGCCACACTCATACATTACTTAGAGAATTGTGTACACACACAATTCCTGAGACAGGGACCCCCGACAACAGCCGCCGTGCTGGTAAAGAGACTTTGCGATTCGCTTACCTCGTGGCAGCAGGAGCGCCTGCTGGCAATCCCACCGCCACGGTAAGCACCGAGAGCCATAGATCGAAATGAGTCAGCCCTAATAAGCTGACACAGGCCGGGCCATAGCCGAAGGCCCGGGCGAAGCTGGAACTTCGCAAATCACAATCGATCGATCGAAATAAATAAATAAACCTACACCTCACTAATAAAAGCAAAGTGAAAAACGATTGACCATCAATTACGCTGAGACGCTTAAGGATTCACGAATGGAGACAAGAAGGAACTAGAAGGATAAAAAAAAAAAAAAACTATAAACAATGAGACGGCTACGGAGGTGGAAGCAGAGGTGGTTTCAGTGGAAGAAGTGCAGGCAGTTTTGGGGGTAGTCATGGAGGTAGAAGCAGAGGCGGATTTGGAAGCTGAAGTGGAGGCAGCAGCGGATACGGAGGATAAAGCGGAAAAGCAGAGACGTATTCCTAGAAGCATTAAAGTAAAATGAACTGAAACTTTTATTTTCTTTTTTTTTCTAACAAGCGAATTTTATCCAGAGAGAAAACACTTTTCATGTACCAAAAGATTAAGTTCACAAGCAAAACCAGCCACAGATTAGTCAGATACAAACAAAGTCCAAAACAAAGCAAAAAAAAAAAAAAAAACTTATCAAAAGGAAAACTTAAACAGGACTAACCCTAATCAACATCCCCTGAGATGTGGGCAAGAAAATAGAATCGAAAACTATACAAAGAGGTAAAAATAAAATAGAAAGAAAGAGTGAAAGCGAGAAAAAAACTATATTTAAAAACTAGAAATAGACGATTGATATACCAATAACAAAACAAACGATCGTAAGCAAAAGGTAAATAAAGAGAAATAAATGCTCCAACAAACCACCTCCAACAAACACACAAACACCCACTCGCACAGCTATGTGCCGATTTGGTATCAATATATATAAATATATATATATATATATATATATATATATATATATATATATATATATATATATATGTATATATATATAAATATATATATATATATATATATATATTGTACATATAAATATATATATATATATATATATATATATATATATATATATATATATATATATATATATATACACTGTACATATAAACATATACATTTATAAAAAAAACAAAAAGCATATACATAAATCTATACAATATACCTCTCTCTCTCTATATATATATTTATATATGTCACCATGTAAGTATAAATACACACAGATGCATATATATATATATATATATATATATATATATATATATATATATATACACACACATATATATACACATATATGCATACATGAATACGTATATATATATATATATATATATATATATATATATATATATATATATATATATATATATATATGTATATATATATATACACACACACACACACACACACATATATATATATATATATATATATATATATATATATATATATATATATATGTACATATGCTTATATATGAATATATATGTACACACACAGACACACACACACACACACACACACACACACACACACACACACATATATATATATATATATATATATATATATATATATATATATACATACATATGTATTTATACATATATAAATTTGTATATATATGTATATATGTCTATATTTACACACAAATAAGTTGGTTGTTTGTGTACATGCGTTGTGTGTATGTAAACATGTGTGTGCTATGTACATGTGTATGCTCTAACAACATATTCCAAGTAAGTGTGTTGCATTTATGATGATGTCTTGGTCATCAATATTGCTGAAGGTACATATAAAATGAAAAAAGGAATTCATAACACTATTGCATAATAATTATTGTGCAGGCGTAATTTTTAATAGTTTGAATAGCACTCGTTAACATCATCTACAATCACATCTAATATATATATGTATATATACAGATAGATAGATTGATAGATAGATTGTAAGGTTTGTTTCCCCAGTCACCGAGGTTTACGACGTAAGAAAAGTAGTTTTCTTAAAAAAAGAAAGATTATCTAATCTTTCGGAACTGATTGCTCATTCATTCACGCAAAGAGTTTGTAACGAAAGAAGCTGGCACCTTTAGTGCCTTACTGAAGGCCAAACTATGAAGTATAAATACTTGGCCGACGTCGACAGTGCCACACATGAAAATATCTCTTCTGCAATAGAGGAAGATAAACTCACTGCAACCATGATAATTCAGCGTCCAGTGGTGAGACACGTATATGACTTTTGTGGTTGCTAAAAGAAATGATCTACGTTGGGTAACCAAGAACGAATGATTTTATAGTATGGGAAAACAACAATGATTTAAGTTTTTTTATTTAAGAAAAAGAAGCTTTATATCCACGTGTTCTGTATTTTCGAGTGCTCTCATTTCTCTACTAATCCGGCTGTTTGTTTGTACATATTTTGTAACAGCATTTAATTAGTCCGTGGTTTCCAGGTGATATTGGCAGTCACGATGGCCCTTGTGTCGATGGCAGTGGCCGGAGGTAGAGGCCGATATGGTGGCGGCGGTGGAGGAGGTGGAGGTGGTGGATTTGGCGGAGGTAGTGGAGGTGGAGGACAAGGAGGCAGTGGATTCGGAGGCGGATTTGGCGGTAGTAGCGGCGGCGGTGGATACGGAGGAGGAAGTGGCGGTGGCAGTGTAGTTTCTGGAATTTTTGTTGGTAGTGACTCTCTCAGGTGGAGGCGGCGGTGGCGGTAGCTACGGTGGTGGAAACGGAGGCGGTTTAAGTGGAGGAAGTGGAGGCGGTTTTGGGGGTAGTCATGAAGGTGTGAGCGGAAGCGGATTTGGAGGCGGAAGCGGATACGGAGGATAAAGCGGAAAAGCAAAGACTTACTCCTAGATGCAATAAAATAAAATGAACTGAAACCTGTTTCTTCTAACATCCGAATTTCATCCAAAAAAACACTTTATGGTCCAAAGTAGTAAATTGATAATTAAAGCTTCCCAGATACTGTTCAGAAAGCCTGAATCAAGGTAAGAAGCCCAAATAAAGAAAAATAAAGAGGCGGACGCGGAGGCAGCAGCGGATACAGAGGATAAAGCGGAAACGCAAAGACTTACTCCTAGAAGCATTAAAGTAAAATTAACTGAAACCTGTTTCTTTCTTCTTTTTCTAACATCCCAATTTCATCTAGAACGACACAATTTTTATGAAAGAAGCCCAAGTAAAGAAAAATAAAGAAATTAATTAATAAATCTACACCTCACCAACAAAAGCAAAGCGAAATATAACAGACTATAATTTCCATTCAGACGCGAAGGGGGGGGGGGGGATATAAACAAAGAGACGGAGGTGGTTATATATATATATATATATATTTCTCCAAGTTGCGTTTTTATTTTATCTATTTTATCACACAGCACAAAATTAAATTGAAAGTCTAAAGTTACCT